CAGAGACCGGGCCGCGGGATATTGATCCTCGTAACCACCTTATAGTCCTCTTACAAAGAGTGAATAAAGAGATGTAAGAGGACGTCTAAGATAAAGAGGGAATGCCAAGGCCAGGATACGCCACAAGAAACACAAATACAACGGAAGGATATGGATGAAGGCTAGAGTCGGGGTCCAGGAGCTGAAATTCCCGTCAACACATTTAGCAAACTACTGTAAGATGAGGACCCATACGGACACCTCCGTGGGTCACCGCCCTCGCTCATAGTGCCCCTTATCTCCTTAGTCTTTAAGATTCTTATGTTATCAGCATAAGTACTCGTACCCAGGGGATCGTGTGCCCGTGCCCTGGGTAAGGGGGGGGGGGGTCGTGTGCCCGTGCCCTGGGATAGGGGGGGGGGTCGTGTGCCCGTGGGTATCGGGGGGGGGGTCGTGTGCCCGTTATCTTGAGATCTTGAGATGATTTCGGGGCTTTAGTGTCCCCGCGGCCCGGTCCTCGACCAGGCCTCCACCCCCAGGAAGCAGCCCGTGACAGCTGACTAACACTCAGGTACCTATTTTACTGCTAGGTAACAGGGGCATAGGGTGAAAGAAACTCTACCCATTGTTTATCGCCGGCGCCCGGGATCGAACTCGGGACCACAGGATCACAAGTCCAGTGTGCTGTCCGCTCGGCCGACCGGCTCCCCTGGATGCTCGACTTTCTCCCCATACCCGTGCCCTGGGTATCGGGGGGGGGGTCGTGTGCCCTTGCCCTGGGTAGGGGGAAGGGGTCGTGTGTGCCCTTGCCCGGGTAGGGGGAAGGGGTCGTGTGCCCTTGCCCTGGGTAGGGGGAAGGGGTCGTGTGCCCTTGCCCTGGGTAGGGGGAAGGGGTCGTGTGCCCGTGCCCTGGGTAGGGGTTTCGTGTCTGCATCTCTGCCTCCAAAACCACCCACTCTAGATGACCAAGCTCACAGTCCCTTAAATACCAGAAAAGCTAAGTAATTGTCCTTACCAGGCGTCAGGCCGGGAAGACCACGTGGCCCAGTAAACAGGGGTCAAGCAGGAGAACACTCAAAAGCTACACAAGGAGAATAAATGGAACTGGAAGATGGAGAATGGCGAGACTTTTGACTTATTTCCCTCCTCGAGTCGGCAGCGCACCTGAGCACTCGTGGCAGCTCTCAGAAAACGGAGACGATCCGATTTAAAAAACTGCGGACGTCTCTCATTCCTTAATGGGCTTCTTCCATTGGACGAGTCATTATTTCCCAGATAAAATATTCTCATCCGCGAGATACAGGCTATAGACCAGTCTCTGCCCGCCACATAACATGGGTGTGTGTGTGTTTTGTACACACACTCTTTGTCGAGCAGAGCCAGAACTCAACCCCCGCAAGCACAATTAGGTAAGTACACACACACACACACCTAGTACTTACTAGGTGAGTACACACACACACACACACACACACACACACACACACACACACACACACACACACACACACACACACACACACTACTATCATCTCCTCTATCTATAAGGCGAGTTACTAACAAACCCCTAAATTCTATTCATGAGGACATGAGAACCCACACTTATAGTGTACCATGCCCGCGGTGTGAGACCTACAGTGGCCTGCGAGCTGCTAACACCAACAGTTTAGGTGATCAGACCGTCAGACGGAAGGCCTAGTCAGAGACAGGACAGCGAAAGCAGCGACTCACATAACCGCAAAATTATGTGCCTTGACACTACACAGTGAAGCCAACCCACACATGTGAAAATAATAGGTCCCAATGGGACGTTTCGGGTCCCATTGTCAAGTCGTATGTCCCCCCCCCCGCTCCCTCCCTCTCTATCTCTCCACATCCGCCCATTAGCCCAAATGTTATCGCCGTGAAATGTTTACTAAATATCTAAATGATAGACGACGCAAAGAGGACAATGTGTTTACGTTCGACATATAGCAGATGTCTCTGTTAGTGGGTGGAGTTGGCAGGTGCTACCGTGGGCGGGTGCCACTGTGGGTGGGTGGGTGGGTGGGTGGGTGGAGAAGGCAGGTGCCACCGTGGGCGGGTGGGTGGGTGCCACCGTGGGCGGGTGGACGGGTGCCACCGTGGGCGGGATGGGTGGGTGGGCGGGTGCCACCGTGGGAGGGTGGACGGGTGCCACCGTGGGCGGATGGGTGGGTGGGTGGAGAGGGCAGGTGCCACCGTGGGCGGGCGGAGGGCAGGTGCCACCGTGGGGGGGTGGGTGGGTGGAGAGGGCAGGTGCCACCGTGGGCGGGCGGAGGGCAGGTGCCACCGTGGGCGGGCGGAGGGCAGGTGCCACCGTGGGCGGGCGGAGGGCAGGTACCGCAAGGTCTGGCCGGTGTCGCAGTGCCAGGGGGGGGGGGGACCAATCCTCTGCCGCCTCACGCCGCCCT